TGGACGTTGGTTGGCTTCTGGGTGCTAAATGAGTGATTAGTTATTGCCTATTCCTGTTCTTTTCACTGTTTATTGTAATCCTGCACAAAAAACAAAACAAAAAAAACATTAGTGTTAGTACTTGGGCATTTTTTCATAGTTTACTAATTTGTTTAAGATACTAATTGTTTTTAAAGTAAGGAATAGTTTATATTATGGAGTACAATTTCAAGGGTCAAGAAAGATGTGTCACTAGAACAAACACTCATAGCATTGATTTAGTTTAATACTGTAATTTTTTTTAAATTTCAAGAACACACAATGTCCTTTGAATCTTTCTTAGGCATCTTTTATTTCTTTAGACAAACCACAGTCAAGTAGACAAGTGTCAAACAAAAGCTGCTACAACAACAGTATTTTGTGCTTTTTTCTTTATATTGAACTATTGCTTTTGGACATAAGTGAAAGTCTCATGTTATGAGTCTTGTCTTGTATATTTATATTGCAGCACTGTATGTCTGGTAATAAACTTCATGTCACCTTGTATTATTACCATGTGTAAGTAATGTGACTTGGGACAGGAATGTGGACTTACACGTGACCAGTGTAACTCGTGTGTGTGCCGGAGAATGTTGTTTTCAGGCGTCATACAGTATTACGTAGAGTATAAGCTACTGAGCTTGATTTTGTCTTTTGTAACTTTTAAGCTTTAATTATGCCATAGAGTACTTAACTTATTGAAAGCATTGTTCTTTTTAGTTTTGTTTGGAGTTGTGAAACTGTTATGTATTGTTATTCAAGGACAAAATAAATTATACTGTTGACAATAAGATTATTATTATTGTGGTATTGTTGTTGTCTTGTTGTGGTTATATTTGTAGTTTACATTGAATTAACAAATTATTAATATATACAGTACATAATATCTTAATGTTGATGAGGTTTAGGAAATATTATGGTATGTTTATGCATGAGTTAAACTTCTGGAAACTAGTTATGACTAAAAGAAGTAAAGTCCTCACGTTTGCATGTTGATTTATGGATAGAAAGTACAGTACACATTTTCTATACAAACTCTCATGTCACAACAACATTTCTCAGGTACTGGAAAGGTGTATCCATGGGTATTAGTTGTCTTCCCCAAATGAAATGACTCAGAAATGCTGCAGACTTGAAAATTTGATACTGTATGATATAATAATTAAGATATACATCCAGTAATTGGCCATAATTTGAAGTTAGATGATCTTTATGACCTCAACAGGCATGAATTTAGTCACTGTTTCAAGTTATACATAAAGCAATAATATTGTAGAATATCTGGCCTCCAGTTTGTGAACCTCTCCACTGTGGCGCTTTATACCTTGTTCAAGACTTATGTAACAGTGATCATATTAAGGTCTGTGTAAAGCCAAGGGAGTAATCTTTGTGGAGAGGAGATACAAGATGAGAATGAGGAGAATGGTTGAAGAATATTATAGAACAGTGTAAATAAAATATTATAAGATAAAGAAATGGATAAAAAGACATAATCCTGAGAACAAGAAGTAATTTGTAATATTTTTGTATTTATATTTTATTAGAACTGATGACATATACAGTACCAGAACATGAACAAAATACAGAAATTTGTGTAATGCAACAGTTCAAAATGTTCCTAAACTGTGTCGGTTAACACTGAGCTCTTACAATTTTATAGCCTTTCCTTATTTAATAGGCTGTTGAAACTGATTTGAGAACCCCAGAACACAAATACCCACACATTTGTATATATACATTACATGCATACACAGCTCAGTGAGTGACAAATTCCATAATGTTATAACAGGAATTCCTCAGAAATTCATGATTTATTTATGTATATTAATTTATGATTTTGTGTTAAGAAAATGTAAATAGATAAGAGCATGGATGAGACCAATTGTGTCAAGAGATGCAGGAGTCTAAATGTGGAGGGGAGGGGAGCCAGGGGTAGGACAAAAATAACATACGGTGAGGTTCTAAGTGATGACATGAGAGGCTGCAAGAGACCCTGCAGCATAAAGACCTGCCATCAGGTAATCTTGACTAACCTGCTCAAGTGTGGAAAAAGGCTGTAAAATGTTGATGATGATTGCATATGAATAACCTTCCCAATATATAGGAATTAAGAAGATAAGCGGTAAAGGGCAAAGATCAGAGGAAAATATGTGAAATGGTGTTGTGGAATGTAAAGTATTTTAAATAACAAGATTAGTAAAGAAGGCTTATTGAAACTAGGGTGAAGGTGACTCAGTTGTGGATGTTTTATGTGAGGTTATGGGCAGTTGAAGCCTTGTGTATGTTAGAGTGAAGGACTAATTTGAGATACTGTAATAGTTAAACTTGTTTCCAGCACCCAGTGCATACTAGGATAGTCTGTTCATTATGAAAATATCAGGTGGTCACACCCTCTTTCTCTTGTCTTGGCTTGTGATTGGCCAATCACAAAACCCTATGTCATATTACTGGGTGGGGCCGAGTTGACATTTCCATAATGAACAGACTATAGATACGACACATTAATGGTGAAACACGTACACACTTTCTCCTCTGACATTGTACCTAAGGGGAGGATAAATACAAGTGATTTATGGGCTTTGATTTATTGGATTAGGGTTGAAATAATAGTTAACTTTGAAGCACCATTAAGTAGTGGTGCCTGGTGTCAACGAGTGTATACAGATCACCCCGCCCGAGGTAATGCCTGTATTTTGCGAGTGTTTTATTTCACTTGAATAAAACTACACATTCCAACAAATAAACAAACACTACGAGCAACGGTGTAAGCTTTCTTGAGATTTCCCGGTTATTAAATGGTTGTCCACTCTTCTGTATTGTAATGACATGCTGTTGTGTCTCAGTAATTCTGGCTTTTGTGCTTGAGTTGTAGATTGAAATGAGTATTATTTTTATTTCAACCAGTGATGACCGGCACGGTATTCTTCTTTAAAATATTCCTCATATTTTTTCACTTTATTTTCTACTTGGCACAATTTTTTTTAATTTACTTTGTGTTTTAATAATAATGGAGTTGATCAATACTTAATACAGTGTTAGTTCCAGATACGTTCCCCTTTTGCATGTTCTGATGACAGAATTAGTTTGCGAAGTCTTTATGGTAGGAATATGATTTATGATTTAATGTATACATACTGTACTGTGTATGAAAATTGTTCACAGTACACATTGATAAAAAATTTCTTCCATGTGTAATTTTTTTTACTTTATCACCTGTGTTTTCTTTAATTTTTTAACACTTACATTCGCACTTGAGAATTTGTGAGGTTTGGTACAGTGTCTGCTAATCTTGACTCCTGTAACCTTTTTGTATGACATTAAAAATATATATTAGTTAAAGATAAATAAAACAATAAAATTGATAAATTATACAATCAACAAGTGTTTGAAAATAATCACGACCGCTCCATTGTCCAGATCAGCTTGTGTGACCTGCAGGGGAAGTTCTGATGATGTGGTGTGTTGACAGTTTGTTTCATAGGATTCCATTCATTCCACTGAAGTCTTTTGCAGTCAGTGTTGAATCCTTCATTCTGACACATGTTGAAGAAGGTCTTGATGGGCTTTCTTCATTTATTGCTGCAGACTTTTTTTAGATTCTTCATCTCATAACCAAGTCAGTGGCTTCAAGAGATCTTTCTGGGCTTACTAGGAAGCGGTTTCCACGGTGGAACAGAATTGGTGGGAGGATTTCGTGCCGTCTGCTTCAGTCCTTATTATTCCTGTGTCTTATCCTGGATTTCCCATAGAGGAACTTTTTACCCAACAGGACCTTTTCCTTATTTGATATGTTCTAGGGACCCTTGGTGACTTAAGAAATACTCTGGCTAGTGTATTTTTGTGTTTGTGTTTTACCATCATCATCAGGATGTGACAGAAACTAATGCAGCAACCCCAGGATACAACTAAACACACAGTCAGCACGGGGGTCTCATGCATAGAGGCCCAAGGTATCACTGAGTTAGAAGATGGAAAGTTTATTGCCTTATTCATTTTAGCAGGCAGTGATCAGGCTCTAATTTTTTTTTAAATACCTCTAATTACATAACTGGAATGAAGATTTTTTGCAGACACGGGAATTAAAATGTCAATTATGCCCCAGTGATTTTAAGTCTTAGAAAATTTTTAGGTTGATGCCTGACATAACAGGAAAACACTTAACCATCTGTGTGATTCTTGTTCACCTGAAGTTAACTGTCTAGAGTGTTGATGTTTGAGTAAATTTTTTATCCATCCTGTCATACAAGAAGCAATGTAAATGATAAGCTACTGCTACCAGGCACTTGTGATAGAGCTTTCATAATCAGAAGAGGTGTTAACTCTAAAAGGTGTTATGAAGCAAAGATTGAATATTATTGACAGGTTTGGCTTCTATGTCTAGCGATCAGTCATTCAAATTTAAAATGTGTTTCCACTGGTTATTCACCTACCTTATTTTTTTACATCCAGTATACAGTACCCAGTCAGTCAAATACCACAATTAAAGCAAGGTGTTTCATATAGTATTCTTAGTAAAGGCAATGAGTTCTAGAGACTCTCTCAAAAATATATAATAGATGAACAAAAATCTTTACATTTCACTTCTGTAAATGTTGATAATTTAAAAGCAAGATTTCCAAACTTTCAGAGTAAAATATATTTTAGAGTTGAGATAACATACTGTTGGATGATGATGATCTGCCTTGTTGAGGCTTGGTTTCATCGCCCTAGCTTTCTGTCCATCATCAATTCTGGTGTACTGAGTATTTAAGTTTAGTTCAGTAAAGGTAACTTGTTTGTCATTTGGGTTTAGCATTAACTTCCCATCAGAAATATTTTGTTATTGATTACATAAGACCCTAATTACATGCATTTACCTGTACACATCATTAATCCAGGTAAGATAAACCAAGATATTTATAACCATTCCTTAGTTACTGTTTACTGAATGATCAAGAATTTAGAGTTTTATTGTATTTACCAGATTTTTTGGGGGTTTACAGATGGCACCGTGTGTTGGGTCGATGAATGCCCAGCTGTATCCCCACTTTGAGTCTCGGCAGATGTTAGGACCTGGAGCCCCGCCCTCTGTGTACATCCAGCATGGTATGTATAAGGAGCTTTTCCGTTACTGTTGGGGTGTTCAGGCTAGTTTTCTGTTTTTCTGTTACTGTTAAGGGAGTGTTGGGGGGACTTGTATTTTTTTTTTTTTTTTTTTTTTTTATACTGTTGATGGGACTAGCTTTCTGTTTTACTATCACAACTAAGGGACTCATTTTACTGTTACTGTTGGAGGCTAGTTTACTGTTTTACTGTTGAGGAACTGCCAGTTTGCATCAGATGCCTGTGTGTGCATGTTTGTGATTGATGATATTGTGTATAGAGCAGAAGTACAGTACAGGGTGGACTAAGAACATAATAACTGGTGTACAACACATAACATTCTCACTCTGAGCAATGTGTGCACCTTCACTATACATTTATATATTATAGGGGAATCTGTTATGTATTATGTGTAATATGTATGGTGTATGATAATAATGGCAGAATTGTGCAAAATGAATACTTTATTGATACAGAGAGGGATGTCAACCTAGGTGCTAAAATCTGGTCACAAAAATAGTTACATGGTATGTTATAGTCACACTTGTTGTTATGCACTCTGCAAAAACTCCTTGAGTATTTAAAGCTTACAGTAGTATTCACAGTATAGTGGTATATAATTTAGATTGTTATGGATAGATGTGATGGTCTTATGTATTGCATTAGATATTCTTTGATAGTTTAGGGAATAGAAAACCACTTTATAAACAGGCTATATTTATTTTGATTTATTTATTTTTTTTTTCATTGGTATTATTGCATTTAGTACATAGTGTAGCATAGGTTGTTGTACGGAAGTGGGTGTGTGCTCCATTACATGATGGTCAGAGGAGCTTTAAGAATTCTTCATCATATGTGTCTTGTATAACTCTTGGGTTTTGGACATTAGAAAGTAGGGAGATGGTCAGCAGTTGACCACCTGGTAACTAAGCTTCTCCCTCTCTTGTCATCCTTAGCAAGTTGTGATGGTTGATGAATCATGCTGCCAGGTCTGCAGATTCATGGCAATATATTTCTCTTTAGTGTTTAAATAATACATTTTTTCAGGTGAAAACTGTAGTAAAATTTTTGTCAGTACTGTATGCAACAAGCACCCTGTAGTGGATGCAGGAAAAACTCTCACAATATGGGAGGATATCATTTTCATTTACTCAAGTATTATAGTAGTATATCTTTAGACAGGAACATGAATAGCTTATTTTGACAATTTCACTAATATTTGAACCATCTTCATATTTGTAATATTACATTTGGTGTCTTCTTGTTCTTAGAAACATTCAACATATGTGCCATGATTCATTCTTCCCATATTTGTGTGTATAAGCCTCCAACCTGATTACTCCAGCCATTATTACATAAAGTATTCCTGTAAATATTTGTGTCATCAGTTTTTAATCCCTCCCGTTTCCTTCACCTTATCATCAGAAAATATCTAAGTTGCTTCATCAGGGTAGTACTGTACTGTGTATCTTGAGTCTAGGTCTTTTGTGATGTATCCCATTTTTATATATAACCTACTGGGACCTTTCCTCCTCCCTTTTTTTTTATGTGATTTAGTCTCCCCAAAAGTAAAATGTACGTTAATTGAATATTGGGTTTCTTGAGCTAAGATTCAAAAGAATTTTTTTAATGCAGGGATATATTTAAACTATTTGGTGTCGCCTCTGATACCCAGGGATTTTATTCTTAGTATGTGAACAGTATTTTCCATCAATGAATATAATTTACAAAGCTCTGGTCATATTCGGTGGATTCATTATATTTACTCTGAAACAGATTCCATGAGCTTTAAGGAATGGTAAACACTGCTTATCTAAAACTTAATACAATGTCTAAGTATTTGCATGGAATATTATAATTACTGTACTGTATGTGGGAAAAAAGGAGAAGAATTTATGTGGTTTACAGATCTGGAAGAATCACATAATACAGTACAGTAGTCAACAGAGATGATGTTTGGAAGTACTGTACTAAGAAAATATATTGGATAACTGCAATATTATGATATGTTGTCCAAAGTATGTGATAGTGTGTGTCATTAATGAGGGAAAAGTGGTTCTCTATATATGGAAGTAGGACTGTTAAGGATGGGTAAGGATGAAAGAAGTGTTAATTAATTTCATGGTGGAGAAGGACAATAGTTTGGGAAGTTATTCAGCTGCTGTTTGAAGATGATAAATATGAGTGAATAGATTTGATGGAGTGTAATGGGAGAAAGTTGGTGAGACATGGAAGTAAGTACTATAGTAATAAACGAGAAACATGAAGAAACAAATGTACTGACTGGCTCATCCCCCCCCCCCCACACACACACACACACACAATGCACAATACTGTATACTAAATGTAGACTTTCTATGACAGAGACAAAGATTGAGGGTATAGCTCATCATTTATTATGTTTAAAAAGATGATAGAGAGAGACTTTTTCATTACAGGAACAACTTGAGCATGAACTATTATTATAATTCTTAATAATGCTCTCTCTCTCTCTCTCTCTCTCTCTGACATTCTCCTTCTCTAGTAGTAAGTTTTAGAACTCTTGTTCAGGGTTTGGCTTCAAGGTAAAATTATAGTTTTAAACTTATTCCACATTATATGACTTGAGGTCTTATACTTGAACATAAATTTTAAATGACACCAAAGACCAAGGCCATATTACTTTTTCATAGTGTATGTGGAAATTGCTGGATATTTGATAGCCAAACCAGCATGTTAAATTCTTTGGTATGTACCTGTATATGTTTTAGGCAAATATGTTAGGCTTTAGCTTATGACACTTAAAGGTGTGAAGATTTCTCGAGGGTATCCTGAATAATTTTTTTTCAAAAGTCCTTCTGTCTGCTGAATTTGGTCGTCAAAATTTTTTAAATAACAATTTCTTTTAAATGGTTTACCAGGGGTCGTGTGGTATAGGAACACATTGCACAGCTTGTTGGGAGTTGGCACTTGTAGAACAGGTGTAAGTCCAAGAAGGATTGTGTATTTAGTTTTCTTTACTAAAGGCAGCATCACTTTAGCTTTTTTTGTGTCAACTCTTCCAATTTCTGTGATTTTTCTACAAGCTGTCATCTTTACTAGAGTGTATCACTCAGACAAAAGGTATACTTGTACAGTATATTGTTTCTAACTGATAGGCTTGTGGCATTTTCCGTGGTAAAGTCAAGATCCATACTCGATAGTGAGGATAGTTATATAAAACAAAATATAGAGCCACAAAAATAACTAAACTTAATTTTAAAAGTATTCAATGCAGTATCATAGTTTTGATAAATTGCTTATGTGAAAATTTTTGTAGTGATGTTGATATTCGTAATTACTGTACATCCGGCATGTTTGTTTACATTAGGAGCATCTGGGTTTACAGTTGACAAATGTGGAATGACTGGCACACTGGTTTTAAATGTGTGTGTGGCAAACCTTAGGAAAATTTATGCAAAAGGGGCTAGTATGATGCTGCCATAAATGTGGGAAGAGGCTGTGTGTTGTTGGCTATAGTGGATGTAATGTATGTTCAAGATTTTATGTGAGGTCACCTTTTAAAGGATGGGGTTCTTTGATGAACCAAGACAACAAGGATGTACTAATAGTGCTTCATAAAGTGTCCTGGTATTTTTGTGGCCCTGTATAAATTGAAGCTTCATCAGAACACATTAGTGCCTCTTGTAATTGCTTAGACTACCATAGTTGATTACAATTTTAGGTGTTTTTGAGCTTATCTATGCTAGTGAAATAGTTTGGTCATGTATCTTTTTTCTCTTCATGCTAGTGTAGCAGAAGTATGGCTTGTTTATGGTAGTTAATAGATGCATCCTCTTCTTGCAGACAATGTAGGTGACTACAACTCTGGGACTTGCTCTGTATTTGGTGGATTGGGTACAGCCTTTGACCCATCTGCCCCATATGGGTCCTGCCACAGTTTTCCTCCTTCTAGCGTGGTGCCTCCACAAGTGGTGCCTCCGCAGGTACCACCCCAAGTACCTCCTCCCCAGCCTACACCAGAGGCCTACAACTCTCTCTCCAAGTTCACCAATTCTACCAATCTGGTGTCCACTTCCTTTCCATACTCTGGTGCTGTAGCTCCTGCCCCTGTCCCTGCCCCTGTTAATTGCTCCTATACTCAGAACAACTTTTGTATGCCTGGGGTGCATGACAACTCCACTGCTACAGTCTTTGGACAGTACCATGAACCTGGTGGTTCAACACAAAATTTGTTTAAGACTGATGTAAATGAATGCAGTGATTTTCAACCCAACTTTGAGGCTATTTCCTCCTCTTCTGCCTCTCCAGACAAAACCAGCAGATACATTCCAGCAACTTCCTTAGTTGGACCAAGCAAGGAAATCTGCAGTGATTACTCATCAGGAGCAACTTCAAATGGGTGCTCTGGGATGGTTGGGGGAAGCTACAAGGTAGAGAGTTCATCAACGGATGTGTCACACGGTAGTGCTGTCGACACCACACAGTCTGAGCAAGTGTTGCCTACCCAGTCCATCAACACACCTTCACCACCACTAAACTTTGATACCAGTCACCTTGGGAGTTCAAACAAAGATTCACTCATGAATAATAGTGATGAAGATTCTACTGAAGCAACCGAAAACTTAGGAGAAATTGTTAAGAAGTCTATGGTTGAAACAGTGTCTGCTTAAGACTTTGTAAGAGGATGAATTAGGTTTGTAGTGTTTTTGATTAAATTTGTCAAATTTGAATATAAGACCAAGGTATCACATAGAGGACAATTTTGATAAACACTAGCAAGGATCTCAATAAGGGGTTTTCTTTCTATATTAGAAATAAAATTGACCTTATTGCAGTACTATCTAATATTTTTGATAGCTAATTCTATAAACATTTGTTGATTCCTTCAGTGCAGTGAACAATAGATATTCTTGTCCCAAAGCAAAGTGTCCCAGCTTTTTAAGGTGAACTTCCCATTGTTCTTAACTAGACTGAGGAGGATGATTACAGATGTCATGAAGTGAAGCACTGTAAGAACTGGTTCTTGCACTAGTTTAAAATGCTCAAATGTTTGCCTCATCTTAAGGAATGAGGTCCACGTTTTATCAGTTTACACACCAATTTGAAGAAAATATATCCACAATTGAGTAAGAAAGATATTTCTTTTAAGGAAGTGTATACAAACACACACTGTGGGAAACCATCACTCAGTGGATAGTAGTGAAGCCTGTGCATTGCTCCATTCAAGACAGTTGTCTGGTATCACATACAATGACCGTTAACAGTTCAAGGTAATGTTTCATTTGGTGCTCATATTGAATTTTGTGTATAAAATATTTTAATTTTCTTCCTTTTTTTTATTATTGTTACTACAAGTGTTTAATGTTGGGCAAAATTTACAAGTTTTATTCCTTTATTTTCTTTTTCCCAACTTTTAGTTGCACACTGTGATGTACAGTCAGTCCTCGACTTACGACAGGGTTAGGGACCGACGACCAGGTCGGAAGTCGAATTGGTGGTAAGTCGAAAATGCGAAAGTAATACATAGAAAATCTAAAATGGGTGTCTGTTTTTCTTCTCAGCACCACGAGAACTCTCACTTTTACACTTGCCAGCCATTTTAAAGGGAATTATAAAAAAAAAAAATTGTCAGTACACAGCGCGATCACTAACGTCGGGACTCAAAAATACGTAGTTTGAAAAATATTTTATACGACTGCTGCGGTCGTATGTCCAGGTGGTCGTAAGTTGAGTAGGTCGTAAGTCGAGGAGTACCTGTAATTGTATATTTGTATTTACATTATTTTAAGATTTGATGGTGTTTCCTGTACAGTTGGTTTATGCAAGTGATTATTATTTGCATTATACATTCTAGGAAGTTATAAGTTTGTCTAAAGGATACTTTTTTTTTTATATGAACATGTACAGATTAGTGCTTCAGTCTTGTAAAACTGTCCCGACCACTGATGATAGTCACTACAGGGTCCTAAAGTACTATAAGAAGAATTAACAGGAGTTCATCTCATGCTCACTCTTGGGCAAGCTATTTTAAGGCATGTGGAATCTTCCATGTGGTTTTAAGATAAGTTTTTGTTGTTTTGATCTTTTTGCTCATTTAACTAAAAAAAAATTTTCTACAAAAAAAAGGATTTAAATTGTCTTCATGGTTAACCAGAACCAGTGAGAATATAACAAATAATGTCTAACTGTTTATACTGTACAGACAGTAAATGTCATGTGTATATTGAGCTCTTCTCAGAAAGTGCAATTTTTTATGTGAAATGATTTCTAAAAGTATATTATTTGAAATATGTGTTTTATTTCTATCTCCTTTGGCTCAGTTATATCCCTGCTAAACAGTGAACAAATGCTCAGGTGCCAATGTACTGTCTGTCCCTCTGTTAATTTGTTTCCATTCATTTGGTTGTCTCAGGTGACCAAGGTGTTAGTCTTGGTTGTCTCAGGTGACCAAGGTGTTAGTCTTGGTTGTCTCAGTTGATCAAGGTGTTCATCTTGGCCTAAAACCTGGAGGAATAATATTGTAATCACCTGATGATTAGCCACCAGCTTATTTTACGTCATGATTAATGACCCCAACATGAGCCTAATCTAACCCTCCAGTCAGTATTATGGTGTCTAATCATCAGATGAATTAAGCTGGGGGCTGAGCATCAGATGGTCCAAATAACCTCATACCAGTCCTACGTGTTATTGATGTATCCCGGAGCGACAGTGGACAAAAAGCCTTTGTTCAAAATTGGCTCGTTATGCCACGCTGCAACAGAATGACCCCTTTATAAGAGAAGTCGACTGGCATGTCACACTGCAGCTGTACAATAATGTTTGTGAACCTGTTGGCATCATCACAGACCCAAGGAGCTACTGTACCTGTGAGTGAGTAATTCTCTCTTGTTTTAGGATAGATAGGTACATATTCAATTGAATCCTGATAGAAGTTGACTTTGGTTTCAGCTTGTACAGATGTACAATGTACAGAGACATTACTGGTGTAAAATATACATGGACAGTGCAGATATACAAAAATTGGTAAACAGTAAGTCAATTTGACGATGGATAGCCACATTAAAAACAAAAACTCACTCACTCTATTTATTTATCTCAGTTTAAAGGTAATATGGGAGCACATAATAGAATTTTCCAGACTTTGACAAAACAACAGCAAGAAGCATGCAACGAGAACACAAAGATGCCACCAGGTGGTTTGTGGCAGAGATGGTGGTCCCTCCCTCACCTGGGGATGTAATTCAGCCCTTTTTCTCCCTCACATTCATCAAGTCCCAAATCGGCCTTCATCTATATATCCTCTTGATTCCTTTCACCCTCTTAAATACTTCTATCATATCTCCCCGCACTCTTCGTCTTTCTAGGGAATGCAAGTTTAGTTTCTTTAATCTATCTTGATATGGAAGGTTTCTAAGTCCCGGAATCATTTTCGTCATTCTTCGCTGCACCGACTCCAGTGAATTGATATCCATTCTATAATAAGGGCACTAGAACTGAACAGCAAAATCGAGGTGCGGCCTGACTAGCGCAAGATATAGTTGCAATAAGACCTCTGCACTCTTATTACTTACACTTCTAGATATAAAACCTAATACTCTATTTGCCTTATTTCGAACATTAACGCACTGTAAGCCCGTAGGTCCGGGCTTACAAGTACCCCTCAGTCTCTTTCACAAGTTGACTTCTCAAGGTTGATGTTGTTAAGGCTGTATACATTGACAGTATTTGTTCTTCCAATATCTAGTACGCTACACTTGCTGGTGTTAAATTTAATTTGCGATTTTCCTGACCACTCCTGCAGTTTATTTAAATCCTGCCCTGAATTAATCTGCCGCCCCATTTTGGTGTCATCCGCAAACTTGCTTATGTCACTGCTGATCCCAGTATCTTGATAGTTTATGTAGATTATGAACAAGAGTGGGCCCAGTACTGACCCCGGAGGATCCCCACTGGTTACACAGCCCCACTCAGATTTAACACCATCTATGCTTACTCTGTGTTCTATCAGTGAGCCATGATTTTATACAATTTAAAACTTTCCCCTCGATATTATGACCCTTGACTTTTCTCAGAAGCCTTTGATGCGGTACACTGTCAAACGCTTTGCTAAATTTTCGTCATTATCTACTACCTCAAAGGCTTTCCTAAAAAATGTCAGCAGATTTGTTAGACAAAATTTTCCCTTTGTAAACCCATGTAGCCTATACTACCTGTAACCTGTACCATCTTTGACCTACACTACATGTAGCCTATACTACCTGTAGCCCGTACCACCTATTGCTTGTACCACCTGTAACCTGTATCACCTGTAGCCTGTACCATCTGTGACGTACACTACATGTAGCCTATACTACCTGTAGCCTGTACCACCCGTAGCCTGTATCACCTGTAGCCTGTATCACCTGTGGCCTGTATCACCTGTGGCCTGTACCACATGTAGCATGTCAGGAAAGCAGGACCCTCAATGTTTTCAGTATATAAAGATGTGGAGGGGAGGGAGGGAAGTCCATATCAACTCTCTAATCAATTTGAACTTCTCGTATCCCCCTCTTCCTCTTTCTTTCTTCATTCTCTTTGTTTTTCGTTATTTTCTCATTTTCTCCAAATTATTTGTCTTTTCTTAAACTCATTCTTGTAGAAATCTCATAAAGCGAGGAAGATTTGTAATGTGAGTAGTAGTTTTTTCTCGTATCTCTAGTATTACCTGAATGTGTTTTCCTTTGTTTAACTGTTGTAGTGCTGCTTGTTATGATGGTCATAATAAGCACTTAACTACCCATGAGTGTAATAATTTTTTTTATTAGACGTGCTTGTCATTCACAATAGTAGTCCAATGATATTTTATCCTGAACTAATCGGTGTATTAAGGCTCAAAATAATTGAAACTGTGCGAATATTATCCACAGTATCATTTACCTAATTAGCTATTTTATTCTCGTGGGAAATTGTCAAGCGTAATTCTGCTTAGCGAGATTTATTAATTCTCACAAACTTCCTTTAAACTGCGAAATTCACACCAGCTATGTACGCCGCCATTAATACCCTCCCCACATCTCCCGCCTTTTCAGTTTTACCCCATTAACTCCTCTTTAGCTTTGTTTCTATTTCCATATAATTATCTTGGGTGTGCGGGGCTCAGCGTGGATCCTCTACAAACATAAGGCCAAATTTAATGAGCTAGTGAACACCTTCGTTTGATAATGTATATACCTTTACCCGTAAGACTGTAGAGGTGTCGCCAAGACTCGCCGACGCCATATTGTTGTCTGTGTCGCCAAGACTCGCCGTGCTGTTTTTCTGTTCTCTGCTGGTGGTTATGTCTTCCGATATACCTGGTGGTGCCTGTACACAGATGATGAAGACGATGCACTGTCAAACAAAGGTAATACGATTAAATTATTGGGTGTAGAAACTCCAAACGTAAAATCATCATACCAGTGTCTGACCACAGTGCTGAATGCTGATATCTTCATACAGGTAATTAATTGTTTTGTAAAAGAGGGTAGTGTTATTCATACTGACCTTTAGGTGGCTTACAGTGCCTCGGTGTAATTGGTTACATCCACAGAAGTGTAAACTACAGTCAGAACTTTGTGGATTCTTCTAATGGCGGTCATGCGCAGAATTTAGGACATGAGGAAGGATATAAAAAGTTGAGTGCTTGATGCCTTAAACAAGAAACATTACCGAAAGTATTTGCACCACTCCCTCCTACATGTGGCATCACCTTATCCTCCTCCATCTGATAATTAAGGTTTGGCTAAGACAAGTTTCAATAGGTTTGGTAATTTTTTTGCGTTTTTCCATCCCACAATTTCCCCTTTCTTCAAAGCCCTGCCTACTGTGTGTAATGTAAATTGTTGGTGGGGGGGGGATGGGGTTGTTATCTCCATATAATTGCTCGTTTCCTACTGCTATGGTCACATTCGTATGGTCAAGTTCTTCATCAAAGTCGATTCTTTCTCGTACATTATTTTCTGGATGCTTTAGTACACAGATTGTCATTATATTCTACAACAGCAGTTATAGAAGCCGAACAAAATGGCCAACGACTGAACACACAGTATTGTTGAATATACAAGTTATGTCGGGTGGTTTTTCAGGCCACCTTTACACACACTTCAATACATGGCCGTAACCTCACCTGTAGTCTTTATACAGTAATATGGCTACTAATATCGTTAAGTTGGGCTGCGTTAAGAACTGGTATCAATGTTTTTATTGCTTAAATGCCGATAAAGATAAGACGGTACGGTGTTTCAGGTCTGTTTGTGGTAACTGTTGGATACTTTTTCTATTTATTACTAATATTACACAACACAAACTGCAGGGAAGGCGGGACAAATTTATGTAAGGATTTTAAACACATAGACATTTGTTGCGGTTGGACTAATTCCCATTTACTTGTGTATTGTTATAATTGTGGGCGCTGTGTGGGCTGGAGGGAGTGAGGACTTGTGACCTTACACATTAACAATTGACATAATTTGATTGGCATGAAATAATGTTTTACTGAGAGTTCATATTAATTTCCTGGAATTCTCAGAGTAT